TCACAGTGGTGAGGCACTAAGCAACTCAGCGAGACCCTGTCTCTAAATAATATATAAAAATGGGGCTGGGGATGTGTCTCAGTGGTGCCCCCTAGTTCAATCCCCTGTACCCCACTCCCCCCAAAAAAGGTTGTGATGATTGTTAAAATCTCAAGCCACCTCATTCAAGGTAGTAAGTTCCACCCCTCCTAAATCATAGTGTATTAATTACTGTAAATATTCTTTTAACTAACATCACCTAAATCTTAAAATGTTAGTGGCTTAACATGAATACAATCCAGTATGGGTTAGGAACATGGAGAAGACTGACTGCTCCATTCAGCCATTCAGGGACCCAAGCTCCTTCCATCAAACAGCTCAGTCTCCTCTGCTGGATTCTTTCTGTATTTTGTCAGCAAAAGGAAAGAGGAAGCACTGGGGGATAGATAGCATAGGAGGATTTTCAGGGACTTGGAAATGGTAGGGACCACTTTCTCACCCATCTTACTGACCAACTACAGGGATATGGTCCCACACATCTAAAGGAATGCAAAGAAGAGAACAGGGGGCCAGGTTTGTGGCTTAGTGGTACAGCACTTGCCTAGCATGTATAAGGCACTGGGTTCGATCCTCGGTACCACATAAAAATATAACAAATAAATAAAGGTATTGTGTCCATCTGCAACTAAAAAAAATTTTCAAAAAAGAACAGGGGTATTATTACAAAACAAATTACTCCCAAATTTGTGGCTTAATATGGTATTATTCTCTCAATTTCTGAAGGTCAGGAATTTGAAAGATATTTTACATTGGAGTCCCATGATTTTGCAGTCATATATTGAACAGGACTCCAATTATCTGAAGAAAGGTTTGACTGGGGCTGGGAAATCTACTCCCAAAGTAGTTTATTCACACAGCTCACATTATTGCTAGCTGTTGTCAGGCCTCATTGTCTCTCAACATAGGCCTTTCCAGTGGGCTGCTATGTCCTCAGCCATAGCAGATGGCATTCCTCAAAGTGAGTCTGTTAGGGATACCATAACAAAACACCAAAGACTAGGTGGCTTATAAATAATAGTAAATTTGTTTCTCAGTTTTGGAGACTGGGAAATCCAAGATGCGAGGCATTGGCAGATTCAGTGTCTGGTGAGGACCCACTTCCTGACTAACATTGGGTCTCCTTTTGGGTCCTCACATGGTAAAAGGGGAGAGGGAAATCTCAGTCTGTCTTCATAAAAGCACAATATTTCTTATCACCTAGTCACCTACCAAAGGCCCAGTCTCCCCATACTATCACTGGAGGTTATGAATTTTGGGAGGTTCATTCTAGCAAGCAATTCTAGAGACCATGGTGTAAGCCAGAATGACCTACATTACCTAGCCTCAGAAATCATACCCTGTCACTTCTAACATGTTATTGGTCCCCCAAACCAGCTCTGGTTCATTAGGAGATTATGCAAAGATCCTAGAAGTAAGGATACCTAATGGGCTATCTTGGAAGACTGGCTATCACATGAAGTTTGGTGTACATCTGCCACAGGACAATGTAAGGTAGAGACAGGTCATGGACCGAATCAGCAAGATAAGTTAGTGGTTGTTCACCTGACTTAACACTGGCTTGACTAAAGCAGTGGGAAATACAATATACCTGAAGAAAGTGGACTGAACCCTCTTTTACAAATGTTTCACATTTCATTTTGTACAATGCTACAGATTCCTCCAAAATTTTACTCCAGACCTTCTCCCAGTATGAAATACAAGACCATAAAAATACTAGGGGAAAAAAAGAATGTGTGTGTGTGTGTGTGTGTGTGTGTGTGTGTGTGTGTGTATATATATATATATATATATATATATATATATATATATATATATAAAATTTCAATTGTGATATATTCTTTTTTTTTTTTAAATCAAATTCCAGGCAGACCAGGACCAGTCAGGTGACCCTTCTGTTATTTAAAGATACAAAAAATGCTGGAGACTTGAGAAAAAAGGCCATGGAAGGCATCATTGATGGCACATCAATACAATAATACAATGGCTGTTGATCCATTTCAGATACTTGTGGCAACAAACAAAGCAGTTCACCTCTACAATCTGAGAAAACTGAAGATAATTCTTTTTTTAATTTTTTTGTTGTTGTTGTTGTTGATAGACTTTTATGTGGTGCTGAGGATCAAATCCAGTGCCTCACAAATGCCAGGCAAGTGTGCTATCACTGAGCCACAGCCTCAGCCCAAGATGAGACTCTTATCTACTGAAATTATTTTCAACCTTTCTCCAAACAATATTTCAGACTTAAAAAAAAATTGCGGGGCTGGGGATATGGCTGAAGTGGTAGCACACTTGCCTAGCATGCGTGAGGCACTGGGTTTGATTCTCAGAACCACATAAAAATGAAATAAAGATATTGTGTCCACCTAAAAAACTAAAAAATAAATATTTAAAAAGAACATGAAACCTTAAAAAAAAAAAAGAAAAAAACTTGGTATCTTAGCAAATGATACTTCAATTTTAATTGCTTACATTGAAGAGGGAGAAAAACAAGTAAATAAAAAAAATACCTAATATCTCAAGTAGAAGATCACCAGATTTCTTTGAAAAATCTTCCTGAAATAACAAATATTTCTGAAGTCAAAAAGATATATAAGCTGTCTTCACAAGAAAAGATTGGGACATTATTCGATAGTATTATTAGAATGTCAACATAAGATGTGGTATGAAATGTTAAAAATTTTTTTTTAATATTTCTTTTTTTATTTGTAGTTGGACACAATATCTTCATTTACTTATTTTTATGTGGCCTCACCAGTGCAAGGAGAGTGCTCTACCGCTAAGCCACAGTCTCAGCCCCAAATGTTAAAAATATTAACAGAAATTTTCAACATTAAAGAAAACATTGAGGGGGCTGGGGTTGTGGCTCAGCAGTACAGCGCTCGCCTAGCACATGTGAGGCCCTGGGTTAGATCCTCAACACCATATAAAATAAATAAACAAACAAACAAAGGTACTGTGTATAACTGAAAGAAATAAATATTAAAAAAAAGAAAAACAAAACATTGATTTTTCTTTCCTGATTATAAAATTAATCTATGTTCATTCAGAAAATTCTTTTTCATGAGACTAGGGATTGAATCCTGGGCCTTGTGCATGCTAGGCAAGTGCTCCACCACTGAGCTATTCTTCCAGCCCTACAAAAAATATTTTAAATCATAAAATGAGATTAAAAAAAAAAACAAAAAACTCCTAATCCTACCATTTTTACTCATGTTAGTTTTTATTTTTGTTGTCTTCCAGTCTACCATTTGCATTTAAACATTTTATTTTCATAATCGAAATAAAAATTGCCAACAGTTATTGAAAAAGGAATTCCAGGTAGTAGATTGATTTTATTAAGTTATTGCAATTCTGTGTTTGGGGGAGTAGGGAGTGCTAGTGATTGAAACTAGGGCTTTGTGCATGCTAGACAAGCACTCTATCAACTGAGCTATAGCCCTAGCCCTGAAGAATATTATTTTTGTTTTGGTACCAGGAATTGAACCTAGTGGCACTTAACCACTGAGCCACATCCCAGTCCTTTTTTGTATATTATTCTGAGATAAAGTCTTTCTAAGTTACTTAAGGCCTTGCTAAGTTGCTGAGGTTGGCTTTGAACTCACAATCCTACTGCCTCAGGCTCCTGAGCTGCTGGCCAGGTGTATAACACTGGACTTGGCAAGAATAATTTTTATAAATCCCACTTGGGTGGGAAAAGCTTGTGAAATGAATTTGAAAATTAATGCATTAAATGTGCCAATATTTTAAACACCATAAACAAAATAAGGAGACAAACTGAGGAAAAGTTACTTGTTAACAGTATACATGAAGGGTTAATTTCCCTAAACCCTCACCCACAAAAAAAAAAAAAAAAGTTTAAAAATCACTAAGGAAGGCTGGGATTGTGGCTCAGCGGTAGAGTGCTCGCCTAGCACGCTCAAGGCCCTGGGTTCGATCCTTAGCACCACACAAAAATAAATGAATGGAATAAAGTCATTGAGTGCAACTAAAAAAAAAAAACACTAAGAAAAATTTTAAATAAAAATGTTAATATTTTTTTAAAAGTAAACGTGTCAAAACCCTACTAAACCAATTTTTTTAGAGATTAACAGAAGGAATGTATAAGCCTAAAGAGAATGGGAGAAGAGACAAAAGCAGATATCATCTCAAATTTTGGAAGCTATAAAGTACCCACATGAAGCAGTTATTTACTTTACAGAAACTTAGAAAGCGTACAGTGCCTGGAAAGACAAAAAAACAGGTTTGGGTATCAGTCTATATTAAGAACTCAGACCTTAAGTTTCCCTCCCTACCTCCATATAACCAGGTTCATGCACAACTTTTATTTTTGCTAATGTGACCATACATATTTAAAATAATGGGTTTTATTTGGAAAAGCTAATTCTAAGTAAAATATTTTAAAGTCTTTAAAATAAACATTCAGATAGCGTTTAAATAGCAAGGAAATATCAATATCTGATTTTACACAGTTATCAAAAATTCTATGACAAACCTACTTTCATCCTTTCCAAATTATCTCAAGACCAGGCGAAACATGTGGACTGAATATATTGTTCATAGACCCCCAAACTGCCACCTTCTGGATCAATCATGTCATTACTCTTATGGTCTTAGAGAATGAGAATTAGATTAGAAATCTTCTCCTGGACCAATACTTTAGCCTGAAAGAATTATTTCAAAGCCAAATTTGTGAACTCTTATGATTTGTCTTCAAAGACTAATCACACCATCATAACAATGCAGTATTCAAATGCTGCGTCCTCCTGGGGAAGCAAATATAAGAAATATGAGCTAGGGGTACAGCTCAGTGGTGGAGCACTTCCAAACACTTGCCAAGCTCTGGGTTCAATAGCCAGCACTGTCCAAAAAAAAAAAAAAAAAAGGCACAAAATCTCCAAAATATGAACCTACCTTTCATAAACTCCATCAAATACAAAGAACCAATCAATTCAGAGACAGTAAACCATGCAACAATGTATTTATTATGTATAAGCATTTAAAATTATTTTCCCAATATCTCCAGACCCGGGCACAAATAATCATGCTGCTTAACATATTGGAAAATGCAAGCATAATCACTGCCTAGAGAAGGGAAAACCATCTAATACATGCTTAGCCAGGAGGCCAATTCATCTGCCGACCTCCAAGAACATGCAGATGAACATGATAGACAGACTGTCCTCCATCTGCACCTTCATTCACCACCATCCGATAACCCTTCTTCAGGCCTAGATCAGCAGCACATTTCTTGCCAACAATCATTAAATGTCCAAGAAGCTGGAAAAGAAAAAGAGTTTCTTAAGCAGAAGAAATTTACACCTTCTTGCCATTAAATAACAGTCAAGTTTAAATACCAAATTAAAATATTGCCAAGGTGAAACACACACCCTCTTGAGCAAATATTCTGAAACTCTCTTAATCCTAATACAGCATAATTTATAATTAAAATCCCATTAAAAGTAGGTACTTAGTCATTACTAATTTTAATAAACAAATCAAATATAAAATTTACTGCTCCATTAAAAAGCTCTTTAATTATATTCCAAGTGTTTCTAAAATTATGTATATGTGTCATTCCAATGACTTGGGAGACTGAAGTAGTAGGATCACAAGTTCAAGGCCAGCCTCAGCAACTCAATAAGACCCTTGGCACCAGGAGCGGTGGCACATGCCTGTACTCCTAAGAGGCTCGGGAGGCTGAGGCAGGAGGATTGCAAGTTCAAAGCCAGCCTCAGCAACTTAGCAAGGCTCTAACCAACTCAGCAAGATCCTGTCTCTAAGTAAAATACAAAAAAGGGCTAGGGATTTGCTCAGTGGTTAAGCACCCCTGGGTTCAATCCTGGTAAAAAACAAAAACAACAACAAAAAAAACTTGGCAATATGTACAGGTCCCGTCTCAAAATAAAAAATAAAAAGGTCTTAGACTGGGGTTGTGCCTAGGGGCAGAGTGCTTGCCTAGAATGTGTGAGGCACTGGGTTTGATTCTCAGCACCTCATATAAATAAATAAAAAATAAAGGCCTGTTGACAACTAAAAAAATATTTTTAAAAAATAAATAAAAATAAAAAGGTCTGAGGATGTATGTAGCTCAGTGGCAAAGTTCTCCAGTGCCAAAAGAAAATAAATAAATCAATAAATCTGAAATCCCATTAGATCTTCTCCCTTTGGTACAGGGTTACTTACACTGAGATAGAAGAAACTCATCAAGGCACTGCCCCCCAACATTAAAGAAGCAAGTCTGCTCTAGGAATCAAAACCCTTCTGAAGGTAGAAGACTGATAATATAGTTTGCCCACTGTATTGAGTTAATAGTAAACAAAGATATATAAAACATTTTCTTAATCTTTCAGTGTTCTTAAGTCTTATCACTGAAAACAAATCAAAGTGTTATTGTTTCAATACTAAGTTTCCCCAAAAGCACAAGTGTGAGATGATGCAAGAAAGCTCGGAGGTGAAATGACTGGGTTTGAGAACCTTAACCTAATAAGTGCATTAATCCATAGATAGAGACGAACTGGGTGGGAACTGTAGGCAGGTAAGAGTGTGTTGGGTGGAGGTGGGTCCTTGGGAGCGTGCCCTTGGAGCTTATATGTTGTCTGTGGTGACAACTCTCTCTGCTTCCTGGTGTCATATTCTGAGCTGCCTTCCTCCACCTCACTTTTCCACCATTATATTCTGCCTCACCTTAGGCTCAGAGCAATTGATCCAGCTGTCTATGGACTAAGACCTCTGAAACCATGAGCCCAAAAATAAACTTTTCCTCCTCTAAAATTATTTTTGTCAGATCTTTTGTTGCAGCAATGAAAAAGTTGACTAAAATACAGCTTGGCTCTGCACAGAATAGGCAGCAGAGCCTACTGTCCTGGTGCTTACTAAGGCAATGGGAACAAAAAACCTAAGACTCTCTCTCCCTTCCCTCTTTTCTTGCCATGGGAACTTCTTGAGAACTTGTAAAAATGTTGGGAAGAGGCTAATCCCCTTTGTTCTCTTACCATGAGAAATAGCAAACAATGAACTGGTACTTTAAAGTTCTTTCTGTCACCAACCTGCCTCTCTCTAACTTTTATTAGGAGAGAAAGTTGGCAACACATAGGTAGACTCCTTGTGTAAACAGGACAAATTGCCCATTGACTGTATTGAAAAACAAAAACAAATGACCCAAAGTGAAATTAGGTATTTGCCACAGGTCCTACAAGTCCCCAGGCAATGTAAGAGATCTGGCAATGTCCACAGGAAAAACTACTACAGTGTGCTTTTCAAGTTATATCCTAATTTCACAGGTTTTCTAATTCCCTCTATAGAGCTAAGCAATTGATTCTGACTACCCTCTCTTTCTGTTTCTGGCCCATTGCCTCTAACCCAAGAAAGTCATAAGGGCAAAGAAAAATGTTCAGACACATTTCAATATTACACAATCCTATCAATGGGATCTGAAATATTAAAAATACATTAAAGTCTGACTAGTACAATGTGATTCTAAGACTGTTGGGCTTTTGAAATTTTTGAAATACATATATTTGGGGGGCTGAGAATTAAACCCAGGGCCTTGTGCATGCTAGGTAAGTGATCTACCACTGAGCTACATCCCCAGCCCTCAACTTCTATCTTAATTTCACAGGTTTCCTGGTTGCTTCAATATAAAAAAGTAATTAGATTATGACTACCCCCCGTTTCTGGACTACTGCCTCTAAACCAAGAGTCATCAAATTTTCTCTGCAAAGGGTCAGACAGTGGGTCACTTGGCCTCTATTAAAAACTACTCAAGGGCTGGGGTTGGGGCTCAGTGGTAGAGCACTTGCCTCACACCTGTGAGGAACTAGGTTCGAATCTTAGCACCATATAAAAGCAAATAAATAAAACAAAGGTATTAAAAAAACTATAAATAAAAACTTTATTTATACTGGAATCCAAACCTATAAATACAACTGTCCACTAAATAATTCACACAAGACATTTCTTAATTTCTTTTATTCAAGGGTCTTTGTAGAACAAAAGTAGCCATGGACACTAAACAAAGTTATTGTATTCCAATAAAACTTTATTTATAAAAATAAGCAGCCAGTTAGATGTGGCCCACAGCCCAGCTGCCAGTCCCGATTCAATTATGGGTTTAGTAATCAGATTTTTACACATAATAGGAATGTGCATTTGTAATCAAGTGTTGGAGAGGTTCACTTTGAGATATGCATGTGGATTCTAATGTTATCTATTTTGGGTAGACATGATTAAATTTGACTTGGAGTTTCACAAACTAGTGAGTTTCCTTTCAGTATATGCCTTGAATGTTTTTGCACAAATTATCCTTTAGAAAATTTGTCATTACCAAAATTTTGGTCATAATTTTAATATTCTCTATTTGTATTTTTTACCTCTCATTCAACCAATTCTTGGTCTTATGACATGCCAATAAAATCTATTTTATTTCTCTATATGCCTAATTTATAAAAATCAAAAATTACTTCTGTATGTTTACCTTACTTCAAAGTATCACAATGCTTTGTTTTTCCTCAGTAATGCTCTTAGGAAGATGAAAAAATGACACCACTTTAAGAACAAAATATAATCTCCCAATTTAAAAAGCAATAAAATAAACTGTGTTGGAATTTTACTTACATTTTCATCATCATCTTCTGCAGCAGAAATCTGGGTTATATGTTTCTTGGGTACCACCAGAAAATGTGTTGGTGCTTGAGGGGCAATGTCATGGAAAGCAAGACACTAAGGGGTTAAAAAAAAGTCAAAGTTTTAGTATATTATCTGCTTGGCTTAAACTTTTTCTTTCAACAAGTATTCATTGAACACTAACCATGTGGGAGACACTGTACTAGATGCTAAAAAATAGAAATAAACAATACACATGCAGACTCCATGACCCCTTCTATGGAACTTAAAGAAATTAACCACATAATCTCCCCAGTCAGATCTCCTGAAATTCTTTACCTCCAAGTTATACACTGTCCTTCAAAGCTCTCTATCCTCTGAGCTTTCCCCCTCTACTTCAAAGATGTTCTCTCCCTCCATACCCACTTTTGCTGTTTAATTTTAAATGCTAGTCATTCCTCAACTTGAAGTGCTAAATCCTCTCTTCCTAGCACACACATATATACATACACACTTTCTCTAGATCAGAGTCCTGATTGTGTAATTTCTGTTTTTTTTTTTTCCCCTTTACAGGAATCAATCAGTTTTGTAATCACGTTTGTCTCATATTTAAAGAGGTATTCTTCCCATTTAACTCAACTATTTAAGAAACATATATGTTACCTTTTGTGGAACTGAACAGTAGCATTCTGACAAATCATTTACCACACTAGAATGTATCTGTAAATACACATACTATATGAATGTCTTTATATCATTTGTTCTTTACTGAAAGTGGAACTGTTTAATAGAACTCATGCATGTTTATTTGTCTCAGAAGTAATTTTATTTGGTATTCCCTACAAAATGCTGTATCATGCTGTTGTGCTGAACAAAAGTTCTTACTTCAACGTTCATTTATAAAAAGCAACTGGAAACTTTTAAAAAGAAACATGCTTTTTCTAAAACAAAAGAACTTCCCAACTAGTAACAAAAGTATCTAAATAAAATCCAACTCAAAAGAACTAATTAAACCTTAGATAACGCTTTGAATCTAGTATCAGTAGCACTGGTTTTCTTTTACTCCGTTATTTCTTAAAGTTTGTAGATGGACACAGTAACTATTTATTTTTATGTGGTGCTGAGGATCGAACCCAGTGCCTCACATGTGTTACGTGAGCTCCACCTCTGACCACAACCCCAGCCCTCTTAAAAGTTTTTTAACAAAATGTTTACAAAAGTTTTTCTACCTATATGTGCCAAACTCCTGCTCAGCTTTATTTATACTGGAATCGAAACCTATAAATACAACTGTCCACTAAATAATTCACACAAGACATTTCTTAAACTTAATCAAGAAGGATTTCACCTGTAATGAAGTTAACTATTTAAGAACTATAAAACTAAAAGTTATAAAACTAAAAGTTATAAAACTGTCTCCCGTGAAACACGAAAGAAATCACTGACTTAAGTGCACGTTTTTCAGCGGTAGAAATCAAGGAGAGCACATCCCAGCCCGCCCCGCGCGACCCTGCGGCCGCCAGCGCAACGCGGTGCCTGCGGTGCTGTGCGGTGCGGTTCGGTTCGTGCGGGCCGACGCGGCGCCGGGGACGCCCGGGGAGGGCCAGCTGTGCGCGGGAGATCTCCGAGATTGGGCCCGAGTCAGGGCGCGATCGGGTTTCTCCCTGTCAAGCAGAGCGCGGGCGAGATTGCGAGATTCCTTACACCGACGAGGCCCGCGGCAGACGCGGAGCCGGCGGGCGTCGCTCCCGGGGAGTCCACGCGCCCAACGCCTGTCCAGGCTCCGCGGTGTGCGGCCCCACGAGCGGCCGGCGGCCTGGCCTGCACCCGTGGCTGATAACGCGTAACTGGAGCGTCGGCACGCGCCAACAGGCCGCCTCCATACCCGCCGCCCTGCCCGTTGGCTGGGGGCCCGAGGTAGAGGCCACGCGGGCGCACGGCCGGGGCGGCAGGGCCCCTTCCCTCCCCTCCGAGGGAAACCGGCGGGTCCTCGGGCCATTGCCCCGCCTTAGCCCCCGAGCGAGACGTGCCAGCGCCTACTTGGTCATCCTCGAAAATGATTTTGGCGGGGATTTCCTTGCGGATTATCTTCTCGAAGATGGTGTCGCCGTCAGAAGGCTGGGCCACCTGAGCCTTGGCAATTTCATCAGCCATCTCGGCCACCCTCCCGCACCGTGGCCGGGGGGAAGTCGAGAAGAGGGAGGAACCCGGGGAGCCGGCAGAGGGCGTGTGCACGCGGTCCCGGCCACGCCTGCGCAGGGACCGCGGCTCGCGCGCTCGAGTGGTTCTGCGACTGCGTACTAGCTAGCCACCCGGGCTGCAGTTGCGGCTGCGGCAAGGGCGCGGAAGTAGCGAATGCACCTCCTGCAAGGAGACACACCCGGGTCGTTTTCCCTTCGTCCTTTCTTGTTTGCCGCGGAGTGGAGCTATTGGCTTAAGCCTTTCATTTGCTTATAGGCCCTTGTAGGAAAAAATGGACGCTGTGACTAAAAAGATTTGACTATGTGCTGCTGGCCCCTGTTTGCTGGCTGAGACATCTTAACACTTCCTTTCTCAACTACTTAATTAAGGTCTTGACTAGAGCAATGAAGTCCATTTTTGCATCAAGTTGTTTCTTTCCCTAGCAGTGGCTCTCAACTTTGCGCATTAAAGTCACTTGGAGATGTTATTTATTTATTGGCAGTGGGGATTTATTTTTTGGTATCCATCTCTGTGGCACACGCCTGTGATCCTAGCGACTCAGGAGGCTGAGACCGAAGGATCACAAGTTGGAAGCCAGCCTCAGCAATTTAGCAAGACCCTGTTCAAAATAAAAAGTAAGGACTGGGATTACAACTCAGTGATAGAATGCTTATCTAGCATGCTTAAAGCCCTGGGTTCAATCCCCTATATCACACACGCACACACAAGAATGGATAAATACTCTTAATAAAATACATAAATAATTTAAAAAGGCAGGAGATGTAGCTCAGCGATACTGGGTTCAATCCCCAGTGTCCCAAAACAAAACAAAACAAGTTCGTAAAATCATTCGGGAAGCTTTTAAAATTCCCTGTGAACCTGGCAATACACCAGACCAATTAAATCCAAATCTCTGAGGATAAGACCCAGGGATCAGTATTTGTAAACGCCCTTGGCTGTTCTCCAAAGATTTTTCCCCCCCAAGCTCCTGGGCTCAAGTGATCCTCCTGCCTCAGTCTCCTTAGTATCTGGGGCTAAAATAGCACTTTCTTTTTTCTTTTTTTCTCCTCCTCTTCTTCTTCTTCTTCTTCTTCTTCTTCTTCTTTTTGGACAATTTTAGACTTAAAGGAAAGTTGCCAGAAAAATACAGAATTTATATATGCCTTTCACTAAGATTCTCTAAATGCTGGAGCTGTGGCTCAGTGGTAGAGCGCTTGCCTAGCATGTGTGAGGTACTAGGTTCAATTCTCACCACTGCATATAAATAAATAAAATAAAGGTCCGATGACAACTAAAAAATATTTAAAAATAACATTTTACTGTGATTACTTACCCTTCTCGAAAGATTTTTTTTTTTTCCTCTGAACTGTTTGAGAGTAGGTTGCATGGGGATCCAATGTAATCACAGGGCCCTTTGTGAGTGAAAGAAAGAGATTCCATCACAGGAGTGAGAGAGAGAGAGATGTGATATCAGAAGCAGGGTGGAGATTTGAAGATGTTCTGCTGTTGGCTTTAATGATGGAAAGAGCCATCACAAGTGGCCTGGAAGTCATAAGTCAAACTGGGTTCTACTCAACTAAAATGAAATTGTCAAAAGTGCTGCATTCTTTGAAGACTCTACAAGTGAATCAACTCTCTTACCTTTTCCACCTGCATTCTTGGTGTGTGGCCTCCTCCATCTTCAAAGTGAGCGGGGGAGTATCTTCAGGCCTCTCCCTTTTCGACTTTCAATAATCTTTATCCAAGGATTAAGAATTTGTGCTCCATTTGTGTATAAGTGTCAAAATGCATTCTACTGTCAAATTAAAAAAATGTAAAAAATCTTTGTTTTTCGTTAGGCACAACATACAATCCAAGATAATATTCCATCCCTAAATTCTTAATTTAATCATATCTGTAAAGCCCCTTTCATCACATAGGGTAATATAATCAAAGGTTCTGGGGTCCTGGACATATAATCTTTTGAGGGCATTATACTCCCTACAACAAAGCTCTGTGAATTTATGTGATGTTGGAATTTCCTGTTTGGTTCTGCGTGGTACACTTTCAGATGCAGACAAACACAGACGCTTTCCTTTAACAACCAGAGTTATTTCATTTGTGGAACAGTGAAAGGAACCACAAAGGTTTATGTAAGACAAAAGCACCCACAGATTGAACTGATTTTGGCATTATAGGAACTAAATTTTCAAATATCAGAAGATGATCAAGCATGGTCTTGCAGGCCTGTAATCCCAATAGCTGGGGAGGCTGAGACACAGGTATTATAAGTTCAAGACCAGCCTCAGCAATTTAGTGAGGCCCCAAGCATCTAGTGAGACCCCTGTCTCAAAATAAAAAAGGTTGAGGCTGTTAAATTGAGGTGATTGCTAAATTACCCCTGGGATAAATCCTCAGTACTCCCCCCACCTTCGCCAAAATCAGCAGATGTGGGATTTTGATTGGCTGAATACAGGACCCTAGTCAGCTAGAGATTACCACAACAGATTACAAATTTTCAATAAATTGGACTATGATTTTAAAGGGGAAATTTTTTTTTAAAAAAAGCATCTTTTAATCATTGTCACCTTTCAGAAGGCACTACAATACAACGTCTTAAGATCAACTAATTTATCGTGTCCTGGATTCAATACAATATCCAGTACATTGGTTTAATTGCTTGATTATGTCAAATGCTTTTCCACAAATCTAATGCACCTTAATATGTTTTTTTAAGCCAGGCATGGTGGCACACACATGTAATCCCAGCGACTCAGAAGGCTCACAAGTTGAAGGCCAGCCTCAGCAATTCAGTGAGGCCGGGAGAACTTGGTCAGACCCTGTCTCAAAATAAAATATAAAAAGGGCTGGGAATGTAGTCAGTGGTAATGCTCTGTTGGGTCCAATCCCCAGTATAAAAATAACAATAATAATAATAATAAAAATAAAAAAGTAGAATATTATCTACTATTCTCATGACTTGCAGTATATTGAAATGCAGACAATAGAGAGGAAAGGGGGCCTTGAGTTCCATTGCTCCAAATCTTTCATTCTTTATAAAAAATCAATTGTACCTAGAAATTAATCTGAAAGTTTGTGGGGGTAGAGAAGGTGAACAACTCTTATGACATAGGAACAAGGTTGAGATTTTTCTTACCGCTTGCAAAGTTCTAAAGTAAACTGTACTTAAAAGTGCTTCCTTGTTATGATTCTGTTAATAAGTTACCCATTTCCTCCTCTAGCAAAACAAGTAGGGCAAATTAAGTAGGTAGGATATAAAGGGTATGGATAGTCTTTGTAATCAGGCTTAGAAGGTTTGTATCCCAGGCCTCCATTTAATAGCCATGTGAACTTCAGCAAGTAACTCACTTCACCTTCTTGGAAAGAATGAAAGAATATCAGTTTTTAAAAATCAGCGTTCCAATCAGTGCCCAGTGTAGTTATTAATGCTTGATTGTTACTGATGCACGTTTCTAAAGAGACTGTCCCAACCGGGAAACGCTAAAATACAAGATACTCAAAACGTAACCAAAACGTAACCAATACCCGAAAGAAAAGATAACCACCCAAGACGGAAGCGATTCTGCCCCTAATAAAGATGGCTTCCAGGTGATTTCCTTTTTCCTCTGGCCAGTAATTGGGCTCCAGTACTTCTCGCGGTTTTACAGTTGTAAATTGGCAAATGCCTCTCCCTGGTTCTTCCGAGGAAGGCGGGTATACGGAGATGCTGCGTGATGATTGGTTGTGGCGCGCTGGGAACTTGGCCACCGGGAATTGGATGTCAACGCCAGGCCTTGATTGGTTGCCAAGAGGCGGGGCGACTCAACCGCTTGAGTCGTGGCCGCAACCGCGAAGAGAGCCATGGGTCAGGCGGCCAAGGTGACAGGGCCTGGGGAGGGAGTGGGTGCGGTGCCGACGGTAAGAGTAATAAGTTCGTGGCCGTGGCCTTGCGAAGGTTGTTTGGAGTTTCTGGAGGCTGGGGTTCGGGACTCTTTCTGGAGGATGATGACCAACCCTGAAGGGCAGTCGTGGGTTCATGCAGGTGCGGAGAAGGGAGGGAGAAGTCATTACGGTTCTTAGTTCTTTGTGCTAACGGGCACCGAGTATTATGTGTGATAAAAGCACGCGACTTGAGTTCTGAGTAATTGAGGGACCAATTTCAGGTCTCTGAGAAGTAGAAGAGATGTTAAACACAATCCGGAGTTAAAACCATGCAATGATGAGGAATGTTTATTCAGATGATCAGAAGGTGTACAGAAGTGTAGGAACCAAAGGAAACTGAGCCCCAGCAGAATTATTTGCAAAGGTAATATTTAGCGATAAATAGCAGAAATTGTGAGACCCAAGTTCTCAAAGTTTGGGATGTGCTGGACCCATCTACATTACTCTCTAAAGACCTGGTCTCAGATTCTTTTCTCGTCGAGCCCATGCCCATTTCTTACCAGTGCCCAATTCTTGACTTTAAATATCAACATTGAGGCCCATTAGGACTTGCAGTTGTCACTGGCCAAAACAGGCACAGAAAGGAAGAAATGCTATGCTACAATACTTTGAGGAAAAGCAGTGTGTTTATAGTTGATCAATAATAGGGAGCCACAAAGCGGTCCTCTTGTTCTATTGAACTTTCAGTACACTTTAATATAAGTCACAACAATAGATGCAAAATTGTACTGCCTGAGTTTCCTGAATAGCTGGGACTAAAAGCTTGTGCCAGGTCTAGTTTACCTCTCCGCACTTTCTGAAATTCCTTGCAACATGTCTTCTACTACTCTTGCAATATTAAATTTCCAAGTTTCTATGATGGCATCTGTGTGAGTGTGTGTGTGCTGAGATTGAACCCAGGGCCTCACAGTGTTAAGCATATGCTATACTATGTGCCTTTAAAATCCATATTTTTGCCAACAGTCTCTTCAGGGTTATCAAAACTTTTACTACCAAGCATTTCAGAATTCTTCCTTCCTGTACACAGTATTCAATTAGAAAGCTACTTGCACATTTTTTGGGGTACTTGTTACAGCAACATTCCATTTCCCAGTACCAAAATCTGTATTTGTCTCCTACATTTGTCTTAACAAAGTACAGGTTAAGCATCCCTAATACCAACATTGGTAATCTGAAATGCTCTGAACCATAAAACTTGTTGAGCATCAATGTGATTCTTAAAAAGTTTCAGATTTTTGGAGCATTTTGGATTTCAGATTTTCAGATTAGGGGTGCTGATCCAATAATTTTATGCAAATATTCCAAAATTTTGAGAAACCTCAAAATCTGGAAAATTTCTGGTCCCAAACATTTTGGCTAAGGACACTCAACCTGCCATAAACAGTGTGGCTTAGAACAACAGAAATTTATTGTCTCACAGTAACAGAGGCTAGAAATCCATGGTCAAGATGTCAGCAAGGCCACACTTCCTCTGAAACACTGTGCAGTGTCTTTTCTTGCTTTTTCTTAGCTTCCAATGGTGGTTCTATGCCTTGCTGTTGTATCATTCCAGTTTCTATCTTGGTCTTCACCAGGCTCTCTTTCCTCTGTGTGTTTATAATTCGCGTGGTATTTTCCCCACATTGGAGTCTCATTGGAGTAGGTCACCCTAGTGACCTCATCTTAACTTGATTACATCTTGCAAAAGGTTTATTTCCTAGTAAAGTCACATTTACAGGTGTCTGGGATTAGGACTTCAACTTCTTTTGGGAGTATGCACAACTCAAAGCATAGTAGTATGGATATTCCACATTTTGTTTACCTATTCATGAGGTTGTAGACATTTAAGTTGTTTCTACTTTTTGACTATTATGAATAATGCTGCTGTGAACATTAGTGTACATGTTTTCATTTTTCTTGGGTATATACCTAGTAATAGAATTGTAATCGAATTATTGGATTGTGAGATGACTGTGTTTTAACTTTTTGAGCAACTGCTAAACTTTTCCAGAGCAGCTGTATTTTTTTTTTCATTTTCACCAACAATATATAAGAATTTTGTTTTTTCCATATCCTTGCCAACACTTGTTATTGACTTTGTTCTACTATTGCTATTCTACTGGGATGTGGTAACATCTTATTGTGGTTTAGATTTGGATTTTCCAGAAGGGAAAGAATGTTGAACATCTTTCATAGCTCATTGGACATTTGTGCATCTTTTTTCGGAGAAATGTCTACTCAAATCCTTTGCATATTTTAAAAATCAGGGTTATAAGTGTTCTTTTGATATTCTGGGTATTAAGCCCTTATCAGTTATATGATTTACAGATATTTTCTACCATTCTGTGGGGTTTTTTCTTTTTTCTGTTTCTTTGAGATAGGGTCTCACTCTGTTGCTTAGACTGAACTCAAAGTTGGCAGTCTGCCTCAACCTCCCAAGTTCCTCTTGTACCTGGCTGGTTTTTGTTTGGTTTTGTTTGGTACCAAGAGTCTAAACCCAGTTGTGCTTTACCACTGAGCTAGAGCCCCAGACCATTTTTTTTTTTTGAGACAGGGTCTCAAAACTAAAAGTTACTAAGGCTGACCCAAAACTTGGGATCTCCTGCCTCAGCCTCCTGGGTTGCTGGGATTACAAGTGTGTGCCATAGTACCTAATTTTTTTTCTTTTTTGATAGTGTCTTTTCCCTTTCCTTTTTTAAAATAAAATTTTATAAAGATGTGATAAATATGTAAAGAAGTTTAAGAAGTAAAATTGAAAACCAGTATACACCCATTTTCTTCTACTTATTCCCAATTCTTGCTTCCCAGAGATAAGTGCTTTTTAATCATTTTAATCATCTGGGATTTACTTCATATTTCTAAATAACATGTTTAAAGTGCTATTCATTGGTTTCTTTCTCTTTTGAGACATTTTTTATTGACATTTAGCTATAGAAGATGAGGACTAGTCTCACTCTCATACTTTGTCTTCAAAATGTATAATTTTTGAAGAATCAGTTTTCATCTTTGATATTATTCCTATTATTATTGAGTGTAATTATTAACTTTTTCCAAGATTTGAAAATATTTTCTTCTCATAGTGATATTATTTAGATGTTATATGCCATTCTTATTTTCTAATACTTTATTTGTTTATTTATTTTAATATTTATTTTTTTAGGTGTAGGTGGATACAACACAATGCCTTTATTTTTTTATTTTTTATTTTAGAGAGAGAGAATTTTAAAAAAAATATTTATTTTTAAGTTTTCGGTGGGCATAACATCTTAATTTAATTTTTTTTAAAAGAGAGAGAGACAATTTTTTAATATTTATTTTTTAGTTTTTGGCAGACACAACATCTTTGTTTGTATGTGGTGCTGAGGATCGAACCCGGGCCGCACGCATGCCAGGTGAGCGCTACCACTTGAGCCACATCCCCAGCCCAAATTTTATTTTATTTTTTGAGAGAGAGAATTTTTTAATATTTATTTTTTAGTTTTCGGTGGACACAACATCTTTTTTTTTTTTTTTTTTAATGTGGTGCTGAGGATGGAACCCAGCGCCCTGCGCTCATGCGTGCTACCCCTTGAGCCATATCCCCAGCCCAATACCTTTATTTTTATGTGGTGCTGAGGATTGAACTCAGGTCCCGCCTGTGCTAGGCGAACGCTCTACCACTGAGCCACAATCCCAGCCCCTCTAATACTTTAAATGTGAACTGTTTTTTCCCTTAGATTTTATTCTTAGCATTTCACTGATATGCAACTGTGAGTTTTGTGTTTTACACTTGGTGGAACCCTTCTGTCTAGTGACTTGTGTCCTTACTTGGTGAAATGTTCTTGATTATCGCCCTTTCCTTTTTACTTCCATTTCTTTCTTGTTGGTGCCCCTGCTAATATTACTGTTGAGTCTTTAGATTACTCTCTTAATTTTCTTTCCTCAATTTCTTTCTTTCTTTTTTTTTTTTTTTTTTTTGTTGGGGATTGAACCCAGGGCCTTGTGCAACTGAGCTCTATCCCAGCCCCTTCTTTTTTTTTTTTTTAAAAAAAGATAATTATTATAATTTTTTTTTTTTTTAGTTGTTGATGGACCTTATTTTATTCATTTATTTATATGTGGTGCTGAGATTGAATCCAGTGCCTCACACATGTAAGGCAAATGCTCTACCACTGAGCCGTAATCCCAGCCCTCTCTCCTCAATTTCTGTCTCTGGATTTTTGTTTTATGTTCTGAGCAGATTTTCTCAACCTAATCTTTGCTTTCATACAGTTGATATCCAAGAGATTTTTGGAGTTTTCTGCTCCCAGTTTTCCTGGTTCTTTTTCTTTTTTTCTTTTTTTTGTTGTTCTTATTGTTATCTGTCTTTGATATTACCAGTTTTCTAATGCATGTAAAACCCTTAATATGGTGTCAGGCATGCAGTATGTTCAGTGTTAGATTATCTGGAGAACAGATTGGAGGAAAGGAGGCAATGATGGTAGAGTGATATACCTTTGTAAGTCATCTAAGAAAGAGATAGGAAGGTCTGAACTAGTTTTGGGGATGGAGGATATAAAAATGTTTAGGAAGGTATTCCTAAAGTTCTACATGAAGAGTAGAGTAGATTTAAAGGATGACCTTAACATTTTTGGCTTGAAGCTCAGTGGTCTCAAAAACTAAAATTGAGAACATGGGCTGGGGATATAGCTCAATGGTGAGGCTCTGAGTTTGCTCCTCAGCACCACAAAAATAAATAAATAAATAATAAAAACAAAATTGAGAGGACAGGGAAGGAGTGCAATATTAAGTACCATTTTGGACTTGAGAAATGAGAGGTGACCTCAGCTTATCAAAAAAACAGCTTGATAGGGCTGGGGTTGTAGCTCAGTGTAGAGTGCTTGCTTAGCATGTGTGAGGCACTAGGTTCGATCCTCAGCACCACATAAAAATAAATAAATAAATAAAATAAAGCTATTATGTCCATCTACAATTTAAAAAATAAAAAAAATCTTGATAATCTTTAACAAAAATGTCAGGTTCTTTTCTTTCTTTTTTTTACACAAACTCTGAATATTCATAAGTCTCAGCATTTCACTCTGCCTTTGAGAAACTGCAGTTAAACTTGCTTAAATTATCTGAAACATTTTTTTTCTGGCTCTTTTCAGATATAATAAGTTCATGATTTTGTGTATGTGTGTGTATGATTTTAAGAGTAGATGAAAGCTTCAATATGTTAAGAAAGAGGTGAACAAGTACATACTAAACTGATAAAGTTGGTTAGCAGACTGATTTTTTAAAAAATTTAAATTAATTTATTCTAATTAGGTATATATGACAGCAGAATGCATTTTGATTCAGTGTACACAATTGCAGCACAACTTTTCATTTCTTACTGTAGTGTCCCACCATATGTGCAGTCATACATGTGTCTAGGGTAATGATAACCATCTCATTCCACCACCCTACCCCCACCCTGCCTTCACACCTTTCCTCCCTCCCCTTTGCCCAATCAGTTCCTTCATTTTCCCCATTACCTCCTCCCCCCAAATATGGATCAGCAAGCAGGCTGATTTTTGACAGGATTATTATCTTTTTAACCTTTCTTTCTTTGATTCAGAGAACTTTCTCTTGGTAAATAAAGTTAAAACTTTTTTGTAAATAAAGCTAAAACTTTTGGTACTGAGGATTGAGCTTAGGGCCTATGCATGCTAAGAATACACTCTACCACTAAAGTGTATCTCCAATCTGTATATCTTTCTATATATCTGAATGCAAAGGGAATGTTATTATGGCAAACCATGATTTTTCACCAGTTATTCTGAAAAATAGTTTAAGAAACAAATAGAAAAGGAAGACTGTTAATTCTTGTAATACAATTATGGAAAATTGAAAGTTTTTCTTGTGAGATCTGAATTCTTATTTTCTTAACAGGTTTTACAGCTCTTTAAAACATTGCACAGAACAAGACAACAAGTTTTTAAAAATGACCCCAGAGCATTAGAAGGTAAATATATTTTTTATCCCTCTGGAGCAAGTTCATTATTTAGATGGCTGTTATTCTGTTCTGGAAATCCTGCCTGTTTGGTTAAGACCTATCTACGGAATGACCTTTACTATCTCTCCTCTGAGATTATTTCCCTTTTGATTTTTTACTTCTTTTTCTCTCTTGTTGGTGTTCTTGTTAATACAACTCTTCTGGATTACTTTCTTAAATTTTTTCCTCTTAATTTCTCTCTGGATTTTTATTCTACATTCTGAGCAGTTTTTCTTTCTTTCTTTTTTTAAATTTTTTTTTAGTTGTAGATGAACATAATACCTTTATTTTATTTATTTATTTTTTAATGTGGTGCCAGGGATCAAACCTGGTGCCTCATGCATGCTAGGTAAGCGCTCTACTATTGAGCCACAACCCCGGTCCTTAACCAAATCTTTTGATTTTACACATATATAGTTTATAAAGATTTATTTACATTACTTTTTTTTGATACTAAGGATCGAATCCAGGGGCATTTAACTATTGAGCCACATCCCCAGCCCTTTTTATTTTTTATTTTATTTATTTATTTTAGTACCAGGGTTTGAACTCAGGGACACTCGACCACTGGGCCACATCCCCAGCCTTATTTTGTATTTTATTTAGAGACAGGGTCTTACTGAATTGCTAGTGCCTCGCTTTTTGCTGAGGCTGGTTTTGAACTCGCAATACTCCTGTCTCAGCCTCCCAAGCCACTGGGATCACAGACATGCGCCATCGCGCCTAGCTTATTTTTTATTTTGAGACTGGGTCTCACTAAGTTGCTTAAAGCCTTGCTAAGTTGCTGAGGCTAGCTTTGAACTTGTGATCCCCCTCTCTCAGCCTCCTGAGTCACTGAGATTATAGGCATATGGCACCATGTCCTGCTTCTGTCACATTTCTTTGAGGAATATCTACTTAAAGAAAAAAAAATTAAATCAGGTTTTCAATAATGGTAGGTCAGAATTTCAGTGTTCTCCATAACTTGCCTTATTTTCAGATCATTAAACCTGTTTCTCTCTCATCATATTTTCACGTTTTAGGACCAGGGACCATCATATTGTAAATACCAGTTTTAGTCAAGAAGTCATAGTAGTTGAGAAAGAAAACCAACTCAGATGATTCCAAATTCAGCATCTCCCTGTTTTAAGCAGTTTCTATCTTATCTGGAAGTTATAGCTATAAGCTTTAAGTTCAGTAATAGTCAAAGTCAACTTCACTCCCAACTTCCCTAGGAGTTAAAAATTTTCTAATTCACCAGAAATAATTTTTTAAACATTAAGTTATATATGTCATATGTACTTTATTATTATTACTTGGTACTGGGAATTGAACCCAGGGACTCTTAACCACTGAGCCATATCCCTAGCCCCTTTTTATATTTCCTTACAGACAGGGTCTCACTGAATTACTTAGGGCCTCAATAAGTTGCTGAGTCTGGCTTTGAACTCAAGATCCTCTTGCCTCCTGAGCTGCTGGGATTATAGACAAGGCCACGGTACCCAGCTTCATCTGTACTTTAAACAAATTCCTAATTTAATTCTCATATCAGCTCTATAGGGTAGTAACTATTGTAACTCCTACTTTTGCAGAGGCAAAAACTAACAAAATGTGAAAAGATTTACCCCACATTATACATGATAAGAGGTAGAACTGGAATATAGCGTAAGTAATCTTGACTCCATAGCCCAGACTCTTAACCACCTTACATATTAAGATGTATCAAGCACAAAAGGAAGGTTTTATGGCTAGTTCCTGTTAACATGGTATATTTTTATTGCTTTAATTTTGGTGTTGGAGGGTACTAGAGCTTGAACTTGCTTTACCACTGAGCTGCATCATCAATCCTTTTTATTTTAAATTTTGAGACAGAGCCTTTTTATGTTGTCAGAGGTTTTGCTAAGATGCTGAGACTGGCCTCGAAGTTGTATTCCTGCCTCAAATTCCCAAGTTGTTGGGATGATGGCATGAGCCACTGCACCCAGCTGCTTTAAAAGTTTTTAAGTGATAATCTTAGCAACCCTGGAGCCTGAGGCAAGAGAATTGCAAGTTTGAGGCCAGCCTCAGCAATTTAATTGTCAGTGTATGTACATATATAGTTTAACACACTTGTATGTATTGACTTTTGCTTTCTTGGAAAAACAAAAGACTTTTAATCAAAGTCCTTAGGTTTATAGAAAAAAAGCATGAAACTGGGCTAGGCATCATGGGGCACACCCATAATCCCAGCTACTTAAAAGTTGAGGCAAGAGAATTATAAATTCAAGGCTAGACCCAGTAACTTTGGGAGACTATGTCTCAAAATATCAAAATAAAAAATAAAAAGGCTGGGCATATAACTAAATGGTAGAACACCCTGGATTCAATCCCAAGTACCAAAACAAAACAGAAAAACACAAACCAGCATTCATTTGGATTTCTTAGAATCCAGTAACTATAGAGTAAAAAGTAGGGAAAGTATTACAGTGCCAAAAGTTTATTTATTTGTTTATTTATTTATTTTTTGTGGTGCTGGGGATTGAATCCAGGGCCTTGTACATTAGAGGCAAGCGCTCTACCCACAGCTATACCCACAGCCCCTATTTATTTATTTATTAACAAATTTACCAGCCTGTCAAAACCTCTCCAAGAGATTTATTTAATATATTTCTCGTGCTTTGTTTTACATGGGAGCAAACTCTTTTTTTACACTATAGAAAGAGAAATGAATAATATAATGAATGACATGTAAATTTTTAAGGCAGGAATTCTAAATTCTAAACCAAATAACTGCATATATTTTTTTTCCTCTAGCAGCCAGAATAAAGATAAATGAAGAATTCAAAAGTAATAAAAGTGAAACTTCTCCTAAGAAAATAGAAGAGGTACAGTAATGGAGTTTTTCAAATTATAACAATGCTCTTTTTATTTATTGGTGTATTTTAGTTGTATTGAACATAATGATGGGATTTGTTATTACATTTATATACAGTACACACTATCACAATATAATTTGACCAATATATAATAAAGCTCTTATAAAATTTTGTTGGCAAAGAGGAAATGATGAAAATAGAGAGGATATATGAAGTCAAACCCATTACTTGATAAATAAAACCATCACAAATATAGATAATCTTCATTTGTTTGGTGTGGCTCACCTTCTCAAGATCATCTGCCTACACCCAAATGACACCAAGTTGCCCTGTGAAAAGAACATGGAAGTAGCCATGGTCAAACCAAGAGCAGCTGAACCAACAGAGAAACCCATAAAATTCTGTCTTCACCTAAGGCAAGTGACTGAAACTATGGAGAGTGTTGTAATAACTTGGAACTCCAGAGGGAACTTCTGCTCAACTAGTCAGGTCAACCCGCCCACCTTTTTTTTTTTTTTTTTTTTTAAATTTCTATCATCTAATAGCATAAACAGCCTCTGTTTATGAACTATTCTACTTTGCCTTCCATATTTGCTTTTTGGTCACTTGCTATAGTTGAAGACACTCTACTGATATTAGTCTGTGAGCTCCATGGAACTCTTAATACGTGCTCATAGAAAAGATGCACAGGTGATTCTTTTCCTGTATAATGTATATACATACAATGTCTCTATCCTGAGCTTCTCTGTCTATCTTTGTATAAAGGTAGGGAAATGGTCCTTATGAAGCAAACAAAAAATAGAGAATTTTTGCAAGGGTTAGTTAGGATTCAAAGAATTGATTTGGTAAAAGGGAAGATACAAATTAGAGTCTTCCATTTTTAATAGAATTTTTATGAGTTTTAAAGAAATATGACAAAATGCATTTATATTAAGTAGGAAAAATAGTATTTTATTTTCTTTTATTTGGTACCAAGAATTGAACCCAGGGGTGCTCAACCACTGAGCCACATCTCTAGCTCTTTTTATTTTTTATTTTGAGACAGGGTCTTGCTAAGTTGCTTAGGGTCTTGCTGACTTGCTGAGGCTGGCTTTGAACTTGCAGTTCTCCTGCTTACACCTCCTGAGTTGCTGGGATTACAGGTGTGTACAATGGTACCTGGCAAAAAAATATACTATTTTTAAATAGTAAAATACCTGTTATAGTTGAGCTAATAAAACAGAATGACATAGCCTAAGTATTTCCATCTGTATAATATTAAAAAAAAAAAAAAAGGGAAGATTTCACTTAAGCATATGATAGGACAAACAGGAAATATGTAATTTTTATTTATGGTAGAAGTTAAGATGACAGTATAATCTGTAATCAAATCATAACTAGGAAGAAGACTGTGGCACACGTCTGTAATCCCAGTGGCATGGGAGGCTGAGACAAGAAGATTGCAAATTCGAGGCTAGCCTCAGCAACTTAGTGAGGCCCCAAGCAACTTAGTGAAGACTCTGTTTCAAAATCAAAAAGGTCTGGGAATGTGGCTCAGTGGTTAAGTGTCCTTGGGTTTAATTCCTGGTAACAAAAAGAGCAAAAAAAAAAAAAAAAAAAGCAAGAGTATATGAAGGGAGCCAGGCATGGTGGCATACACCTGTAATCCCAGCAGCTCGGAAGGCTGAGACAGGAAGATCGTGAGTTCAAAGCCAGCCTCAGCAACTGAGTGAGACCTTGTCTCTAAATAAAATACAAAATAGGGCTGGGGATGTGGTTCAGTAGTCAGGTGCCCCTGAGTTTAATCCTTGGTAACTTCCCCCTGAAAAAAGAGTATATGAAGGGGTCTGGTGTTGAAGCTCAATGGTGAGCACTTGCCTGGCACGTGTGAGGCAATGGGTTTAATCCTCAGCACCACATAAAAATAAATAAAATAAAGGTTTCATGTCCATCTATAACTGAAAATATTTTTTTTAAAATAAGAGTATATGAGGAAGTTTGTACTATTGACCATTCAATAGGTGGATTAACAACAATATGGTAATTATTTTTAAATTTTGAAATTATTATTAAGGATGTTTTAATGTCACATGCCTCAAGTCCCAGCCACTTGAGAGGCTAAGTGGCAGGATTGCTTGAGGCCAGGAGTTTAAGACTAGCCTGGGCAACAAAGGGAGACTCTGTTTCAATAAAAAAGATTTTTAATTGAAGGCTTTTTCTGTCAACTAAATTGGGAACATGAACAATCCTGTCTCCCAAATTTATTTTACACATGGGACATTAATCTAACATTAACCAATATAGATATTGGATGTTTGTTTTATGTAAATACATATTTTATACTTTCAGTAACTATGTAAATATTATTTAGTAGTTATTGATAATTAAATTCTCATAGATTACAGGGTTCTTTTTTTTTTTTTTTTAAATATTTATTTATTTATTTATTTTTAGTTTTTCGGCAGACACAACATCTTTGTTTGTATGTGGTGCTGAGGATTGAACCCGGGCCGCACGCATGCCAGGCAAGCGTGCTACCGCTTGAGCCACATCCCCAGCCCGATTACAGGGTTCTTGAAATCTTGGTGTCAAAAGGAATCCTAGGCATCTTCTAGACTAGCAGTTCTCTAACTTGGTAGTCTCAGGATGCCTTTACCCTCTTAAAAATTGAGGACCCTTAAATGACAAATAAGCCAACACTACAAAGAATACTCAAACTGTATACAGAGGAACCCAAAAACAAATCCCAAAACTCCCAAGTAGATAAATATCAGAAAACTAATCATCTAAATGAGAATGAAGACAATTAAACCTAAACAAAAATCAAAATGACTGTAAACCACAAACACATCCATAATAATATTGAATACACTTAATCTCAACTCCCCAATTAAAAGACATAGATTAGTGGAATGAATCAAAAAATAAGATCCAACTATATCCTCTGTGCTAGAGACTCATAGGCAAAGACACAGACTGAAGGTAAAAAGTTAAAAAATTTCCACTCAAATGGAGTTTGTAAACAATCTGGAGTAGCTATTCTCATATCTGACAAAGTTGATTTCAAGCAAAAATTAATCAAAAGAGACAAAGTAGGCCCTTATATACTGGCAGAGGAAACAGTCCCAACAAGAAGATACATACATACACACACACACATTTATATATAAAATGTCAAGGTACCTAATTAAGAAAATATTCCTTAAATCCCAGATAGATCCCAATATAACAATACTGGGTGACTTCAACACACCCTTATTACTACTAGACAGGTGATCAGAGCAGAAAATCAATAAAGATGTATTCAACCTAAATAATACTATAAATAAAATGGACCTTATAGACATCTACAGAATATTTTACCCCCAAACAACTGATTTACCTTCTTCTCAGCAGTTCATGGAAACTTTTCCAAAATAGAATATATTCTAGGTCATAATGTAAGTCTTAGCAAATACATACACACAAAAATATATAATCCCATGCATCCTATCAGACCATAATGATGAAACTAGAAATCAGCAGCAAGAAATAAAATAGAAACCACATAAACACATGGAGATTAAATAATACTCTTTTAAATGAAGATTGGGTCAAAGAAGAAATGAGAGAAGAAATCAAGAAATTCTTAGAAACAAATGAAAACAAAGATCTAACATATCAAAGTCTCTGGAACACTATTGAAAGCAGTACGAAGAGGAAAAGTTATAGCAATGAGTGCAGGCACTAAGAAATGCAGGCATTAAGAAAATGGAGAGATTCCAAATAAATAATCTTATGCTCCTCCTCAAGGCCTTAGAAAAAGAATAAATTAACTCCAAATCAGTATAAGATAGAAAATAATTAGACCACAGCCAAAATTAATGAAATTAAGAATAAATAGACAATACACAGGGTCAGTGCAACAAAGAGTTGATTCTTCAAAAAAAAAAAAAAAAAAAAGATTTATAAACCCTTAGCCAGACTAACCAAAAGATAGAGAGAAGACCCAAATCAGCAGAATTAGAGATGAAAAAAGAGATATCACCACAGATGCTTCTGAAATCCAGAAGATCATTAGAAAATTTTTTTGAAAATTTGTATTCTAATAAACTGCAAAATCTAGAAGACACTGATAAATTTCTAAACTCATATGACCTGCCCAAATTGAACCAGGAAGAGTCAGAAAACCTAAATAGACCAATATCAAGTAATGAAATTGAAACAATTAAAGGCCTGTCAGTGAAGAAAAGTTTAGGACCAGATGGATTCTCATTTGAGTTCTACCAGGCTTTTAAAGAAAAACTAATCCTAGTCTTTCTCAAATTATTCCGTGAAATTGAAAGGGAGCAAACACTCCCAAATACATTTTATAAAGGCAGTAAAACCCTGATCCCAAAATCAGGCAAACACATATCTAGGAAAGAAAACTACTGATCAATACCCTGATAGATGTAAAAATTCTTAATAAAATATTAGCAAGCTGCACTCAAAAAAAAAAAAAAAAAATATATATATATATATATATATAGAGAGAGAGAGAGAGAGAGAGAGAAGATAATATACCATGACCAAGTGGGCTTTATCCCAGGGATGCAAGATTTGATCAACACATGCAAATCAATAAATGTAATTCACCACTTACATAGAATTAAGAACAAGAACTGTATGATCATCTCAATAGAAGCAAAAAACACCTTTGATAAGATACAGCAACCATTCATGTTAAGAATAATGAAGAGGGGCTGGGGTTGTGGCTCATTGGTAGAGCACTTACCTAGCACATGGGAGGCCCTGGGTTTGATCCTCAGCACCACATATAAATATAATAAAGGTATAGTGTTCATCTACAACTAAAATATATATTTTTAGAAAAACACTGGAGAAAATGGGGGTAGAAAGAACTTATATCAACATTATAAAGGCTATATTCTACAAACCTAAAGCCAACATCATTACTGAATGGAGAAAAACTGAAAGCTTTTCTTCTAAAATCAGGAACAAGTCAAGGCTGTCCACTCTCACAACTTTTTCTCAATATAGTTCTTGAA